AAATGGTATTTGGTGCCTCTTTGCAGTTATTTGAGATGAAAGGCAGGTTTTACATTAACCTTGTCACACCAAAAATTGGTAACTTCTTCAACTGAGTTCTCCTTTCAGCTATGCTATTCAGCTTTTATTGGGAAAGAAAACAGTATGCATGCAGCAGAGAGGCAAGGTAGAAAATCAACAAATTTTAACAGCATTCATGTGCAATGCTCTGCAAAATCTCCTCCTGCATCCTGTAGAATTCTCCCCAAGTTACTATTTACATGGAGTGTTACACTGGGCCTGAAAAGCATTATTGATATAATTTTGTATCCCCTAATCACAAATCAAAGTGCGAAAAGAAAAGAAAAGAAAAGAAAAGAAAAGAAAAGAAAAGAAAAGAAAAGAAAAGAAAAGAAAAGAAAAGAAAAGAAAAGAAAAGAAAAGAAAAGAAAAGAAAAGAAAAGAAAAGAAGAAACTGGCAAAGAGTTTAGAGAAGAACTAATTTTAAAATACTTACTATTACACACTTAACTAAAAATAGCACGTCATGCATTAACAAATTCTGATTATAAAGATGGATCTGACAGGCCCTGCTAGAATTGGAAACACACACATCCTCTCATACCAGTAGGAAGGGAAATTCCCCTTTGGGAAAAAAGGGAACATGTTTGAAGTGCTGCCCAGAGACAAAAAAAATAATCAATAGTAGGAGGGTAACACTAACTACAGGGAGCCCAGACCCTGACAAGGTCAGAGACAGGATAAATCTCCTTAATCTTCACCCAGGTGTCTGCCCCAGTCCATTCCTTAACCCCTCCCTCACCTTGCAGTGGATGGCAAATCCAGATTACAGGCAGAAAGGGGAACAAGAAAGCAAGTAGATTTGACATGAAACTGTCTAAAGTAAATTTTAAAATGCCAGCTGCACAATGTTGCTCATAAATTTAGAATCTTAAAAGAAAAATACCTGGGACCTACAGTGGTGGCCACAAGATACGTGGTATGTTACATGGTTCTCCCCAATTCGTCACCCAGTATCTTCTAGCCTCACTTTCTGGATGTGAAAGCATAAAAGCGTGTTCTTTAGGGATAAAACCTGGGCCTTCCTTGTTGCTACTCCATCAGCTTGGATCCAAATTATGCCTGATGAAAGTGAGTGCCACACTACCAAGGGTTCGATGAGCAGGGACAATTTAAGATTCAAGGCAGTTTAAATCATTCATTATTTAAGATAACGGAAAAGTTCTCAAGTGCCAAGCTGATGAAATATCTACCAATTAGCAGAATTAGTACTTGAAATAGAAGCAGCAGTGCAAAATGAAAACCAGGAATGCTTCAAATAGATTTTGGAAAGGAATTTGCTAGAGGAGAGCATCATACACATGGAAATTTATCAAAATAACATCAGTGTCAATGCACCTTTACTGGAATAAAAAATGTTTCCTTCCTGGTCTCCCCTCCTGATTTAAGCTTCCTACCCTCACCACTTCCAAAATGGTCTGATTCAAGTAAAATGCATGCATCCCCATTTACTTTAGTGTGCTAGGCTTCTTTCAGCAAAGGATTAAAGCCAATTCCTATAGTAACAAAAATTGTCATTTGTCCTTATAAATAAGCTTAACTCACAGTAGATGCTCATATCATTCCCCTCTCATTTATGCTAAATCAGCAACAACATGCTGCACCTTGCATCAGATATTCACCAACATATGTTTTCATGGAGTTCTTGGGAATACAGCATGCAAAAGACATAGGTCTCACTCAAACTTGCCTAATACTATGTAATAGAAATTCCTCTGTATTTGTCAATAATGCAGGATTCTAGCATAGATAGCACTGAGTATCAGCCAAAAGGATGAGAAAGTTACTTTGAACAGAAAGTAAGTTAAGATAAACTGGTGATGTTTTTTTTTCCTCAATGGGCTTAAAGTAATTATTTTTTACACTAGTGTAATCAACAATTTGTGGAAGAAATACTCTTTCCATTCTCAGTCTTCTCTGTGAATATCTGTGGCAACACTCTCCTGGAGCACAGTCGCTCTGTACCAGACAAAGCCAATGAAGAAACTGAAACATATTTTTTCTCAAATCTCCATAAGGAATTAATTTCCAAGAAGGTTTTAAGAAAAAAACCAACCAAAAAACAAAACAACCAAACCCAAAAAAACCCAACAAAACAAAACCCAACTATCAAATAAACCAAGAGTCTCCATATCTGGAGGGAAAATGATAAACAGCCTAACAACATGGCATGTGGTCAGCAGCAGGCTACAGCTGAAAACACTGCATGAAATGCTTGTTCTAAACCTGCATCTGATGTAAAATTATTTATATAGGAGGTGGTAAAAAGGATACCACAAAGTGGAATATCTGTTTAGTGTTCAAGTCATGGTATCTGTGCTCTGCACTACTGCAATAGGCAGAAAATAATAATTTGCTACCAGTAATGCAAGACCAGATGCTCTTAACCAGTCACTGGCACAAGTTGTTTGTTAGATCTAGGGTAATAAAAAACAGCAGAGCTAAAATTACAAGTTTCCTGCACAAGGTACAACACATGAAAAGCAGACTGGTCACAACAGTGAGGCCACCAACCAGTGACCAGCACAGAGACTGCTGCACAGCAGTCAAGTGTGACAAGTACTGCTCCAGTAAGTAAACGGAAGTGGTAAAAGGCTACACATCCATGGGGTGACTAATGGGAAGCATCACTGTACACATAGACAGTGGGGGCAAAGAAGGAGATAAGCATGTAGCCACAGAAATCCTACAACAGAAGCCTTACGGACATACTACAAACACACAAAGACCACTACCTGCTCTCTCTCTTGTCCAAACTTAGCACTGGGGGGAAGTGACCTGTACATTTAAAAGTCTGCATTATCGAACAAGAGGGTTAGTCAACACACCAGCTTTAAGAAGAAATATATAATTTCTTTCTGAGTTTTAAAGCTTATAGAAATGAGGACTCAAAAGCCACATCTGAATATAGCTGCCTTTTGGGGAAAATGGGAAGCTTAAACAACTCTTCTGAGGGCCCTCAGCCCAAGTTGAAAGTGTGCAATGCCCCCTGTGAACACCACTCTGGTTCATACTGCAGAGCAAGACTGTTCTAACACTTAGCAGCAAAGAAGCTGCATGCAGGCTGTTGACGGTAGGTCTCCAGTTTCATGGAGAAGTAGAGAAGAGGTTTCCAGAGGGAAACCCCACTCGCCGTGTACATAGAATGCTATGCTCCCTAATCTACCTTCCACTTTATCACAAGTATTCATTTATAGATTGGGAATAACACATACTGTAAAGAGCTGCAGAATACTTCAAATCAGCTAGAAAAGCAAATCCAGCTTTACTCTTTTCACAGAGGAAGACACCATGTTCTCAATGAATCTTTCACCACAAGCTTTCTGTGGAGCTGGAAGTCCCTAACGTACAGGTCTCCTTGCAAGCACATGACCAGGAAGCTGTGCCTCAAAACCTGTACATCTGTCCATTTCTGGAAGATTTCTGACCCAAGTTGTAGCACTCCCTGAGAGCCTGTTGGAAATCAAGAATCTAGAAGAAAGACTGTTTTTTCTAGGTAGGTGACAAAAACTGTATAGGCATGTTATAATCTGCTGCTTTAACAGTTACTTCTCCCCGCCTTGTTGGGATTTTGAAGCAAGTATCTGCTGGTTCTCAGTTCACAACATTTGGTATTATCCACTCTTATTCCACTGGGATTTTATTGTAATGTTTTCTATATCAACAGATGCAACAACTCAAACACGCTTGCTGCATTAGTGTGCATGTGTTCAATGCATGTCTGTACAAGAGGCAGGCATGTGCAAAGGCACAAAAGCTCAGTCTTGCAGGCACATTTCAAAGATAAGTATTCTGGGGCAAGAACAGCAGTTCCACACAGCATTTTGCTCAAAAAATTTCCAAGTCTTACGTGTCATTAGGGCAGAACACAACAGAACTGCAAGAATGCAAGTTTTACTAGAGCAGACCCCAAAATAAACACAACTCCTCTGAAAACAACTCTTTTTCCAGAAGCCTGGTTGTATTGTGAGCCCTCTGGAAACAGAGCTCATTAAAATGGAAAGGGGCTCAAAGAGCAGGAGACAAAAAGCTTGCTGGTCTTGAAATGTGCATGTCAGCCCTCCAACATGGGGAGAATGAAGACTGCCCACAGTGCAAAACCAGGAGATGAACTATTCTGCCTCACAGCTGTGGAGAAAGGTTTGGACTTCAAATGGGAATGCAAGCAAAACCAAACCCTACTTTCCCATGTGGAAGAAAGTTACCCTTTGGAACAATTAGGGGAAGACAGGGGTCTAGCCCATAACTGTCTCTACTCCAGTACCAGATGGCAAAGTGCTATTGCCTGCAATAATATACAGCCTTCAGAATGGTCTATTTGACCTCCAGAACTAAAGGATGACCAAGCACACAGAATGAAATTGAAGTGGGGAAAAAAATAATTCCCCTCAGAAGGGAACAGAAGAGTGCCTGGCCCTCAGGGACGTGGTCCAAACTCTAACACAAGACTCAGTTTCCATTCTGTCCAAACATGAACATCTGGAGGCTCCTCCTTCCCCATCCTTCTTCCCAGCTCAACCTTCAGCATCTGTCCAAGGTGGGAGACAGAGATTTCCATGGGGTTTGCTGGGTATCATCAGTCACTGACAATTGCTCTGTGCAACTTCGATACCCAGAAGCATTCTGCACTGAACAGACACCTGAGCAAGTCCTTGGTCTTTCTAATCAACAGTATTGACCAGTTCTCCATATTTCAGAGAGAGGGGAAAAAGAAGTCTTGCTGGTACAACAGTGCACTTATCTAGTTGTGTGATGTATAAGGTGCACGTAAGGAACTTCAAGATCCCACCCGGGGCTCCATAATGATACACTGAACATAACAATCCCAGCCACAAGACAGGGCTGTGGTTTTACCCTGGAAGGGGATGGGCATCAGAGAATGTAATTACCTTCTATTCAGGTGGTAGGAGAGACAGTGAAATGGGAAAGCAAGAACTTACCTTCACTCCATCTGACTTCTTGTTCAGCAGCTGCACTTCCCTCAAAACTGCAGGAGACTTCAGAAGGACAACCATCCTGCTAATTCCTCTCCTAACAGCAAGAAACCTGGAAAAAACCTGAGTCGCTCACCAAATCCATCCTGATAGCAGAGGGCCACCCATCCTATCTATTGTTCACCTAATTAGGCAAAAATGCTCCCACTTTCACTGTCTCAGAAAGACCAAGTCTGAAAGGAGACTTAAGAGCTCCTCTATTTCAATCCTCCACTCACACACTGTGACCCCATCCGGAAGTGCCAGCAGTTACAGGGGAAAAAGCTAGAGAAGTCTGCCAGATCTCTGCAATAGGATAAAGGCTTTACCCTCAAGTGCAGCCATCCACCTAACAGACTTTGCTTATAAAGGGGCCACTGATAACACAGAGGCTTCCTAATTGTTGCCATTCACAGTTACTTTGGGGGAACATCTGGATAGCTGAAAGGAAAAAAAATCGAAGTGCAAAAGGCAGTGTCTGACAACTGTTAAAAAAAAAAAAAGAGAGAAAGGGAAAATAGACAGGAACTAGGTTAAATTTCTTCACTGAAAGATAAAGATGTTCTGCTGTGCTCAGCTTGAACTGGCACTAGCAATGAAAGCAAGAGCATGATAAGCAGAGGCAGAGAGCCCACAACAAATGCCTAGCAGAAGGCACACTTGGGACTACAAAGGGGCTGCTCCATCTATTACAGAAAAGTGGTACACTGACAACAACTGTCAACAGTGAGACCCCAACTACAACCTCAACAGACATAAAACATAGCTTGCCTACTCATGAAGACTGTATTCAGTTGTTTCATCTTCTGCAAACAGCACTCTAGAGACCTACAGGACTAACTCACTGATACGCCCCTCCTAAGCAGCTGCTGGGAAGCACATGGGTCTGGGTCCTTGACCTGGATTTTAGCTCCAGCAAGGACGAGGCCTAGAGAAAAGGCAAGTACTAAGAAAACACTCACATGACTGTTGAAATACTTCATTTCCAAAGACACGCTGACCAACTCACACACAAGTGCTCAGTCTCTCTCTAGAAGCAGCAACATTAGGCAAAAATGTTTTTGCAATATCCAAGCAACTGTACAAGTTTTACGTCAAAAACATTTCCTACCCTGCCTTCCCTACCACATGACCCAACAAATATGGATTAACTAGTCAATATCAGCTGAGCTGGTGCAAATGACTACAGTGTCTCCTCTCAACAATCTCTGAATTGGTCTTCCTAATTCTACTCCCTAAAGCAAATACAAAGCTAGATCAGGTATTTGTCTTCAATTCCTGCTCTCAGAAACCATCTGAGAATACTGGAAGGACCTCATGCAGAGGTTTCCTGAATGTGACATGTCAAAACAGAATGCTCCAATGTGCGCACATGAAGGTGGGCAGACAAACTGACCCAAGCAACTCAACTGTCCTGCAACAGTTTCTTGGCTGAATGTACACATGCTAAAGCATTGCAAGACTGAATCTAGCAGGTAAGCTCTTGCCACCTTCAAGGTATGATGAAGACCAGCTTGATTCTACATGCAAGTGAGAAGGAGAACAAGGTGACCTTGGGGTCAAAAGGAGTCCAGTGCTTATACCATAAATACATCAAGGCACCTCACACAACAGCTGCTGAAATTAAGAAATTGTTACCGCCTTAGAACACTTTAGAAGCAGTAAAGGATTCTGCAACACAACAAATAACACAAGTGGAATATCCTTGAAATGAAAAAAACACATCAGAGAAGGGAAACAGCACCACCATATGCCCTGGGAATGACCCAGACACAAGCTGGGAAGCAGTATTTTTCACGCTTTCCACATTTTCCCCAGATCCTCACATTTGTCTTCGTGGACAGAAGACAGCTAAAGTCATGCTGTATGGCATTAAAAGCAAATTCAGCCGAGAGCCTTCCGCGTGGCCGAGCACTATGTAATGCTGCCCGGGTGCTCCCCAGTGCAGCCGTCCCGTCTAGCCCCCTCCCCTGCTTGTCCAATTCATCTCATTAGGCACAGCTAATGCCTAGCACTGTGCACATACTTGCAATGCTTTGGGAAAATCTCAAGGGTAGATAGTGTCTGAAGATGCACATCCATCACAGTAGTTTTCAGGAAAAGATTAAAAGGAGGAGCATTCATTAAAATTTAAGTCTGTAATACACAACCCAGTGGCGTCCTCTTGGCTTGAGCCACAGAGCTCCTAGTTCTTCCACTAGAGAATGATGGAGAAACTGTGTCAGAGCCAAGTGATTTCCTTCTGTTTTTTCACCTCTGCCAGTCCCAGAAAACAAAAACATTCTCCAGTAAAAGTATGTACAAAAAGCCAAAAACCAGGAGCCAGCCTGACAGTTTGTGACATTTCAATTAATGTTTTCCAACACCTTCCCATGAATGCCAAAGTTTCACATCCTGAAAGACACCCTCTTTGCAGGTACATGTATGTACACACAAACAAGAGCAGAACCTTAAAGTGCTGAGACAGTCTGAACATTGATCCTAGACCGTCGAGCCTGAATGCCCCAACCTGTCCCCAAATTCAAGAGAAGACAAAAATACAAGAGCACCTCTCTTGCAGTATTACAAAACCTCAATTTCCTGACAAACCAAGAAATGAAAGAGTGAAGGACAAACACCACCAGAAAAAGCATTCACGGAGTTCTCTTGAACTTTAGGGAGAGGAAAATAAAAGTAAAGGGAATTATTATAATAATTTAAATTCACTTTTGATGATGCATTACACTCTCAGGCCTTAGTGACAAACCTTTTAATGTAGAAGTGAAATCCATGTGATTCTGGGAAGCTGCAAAATGGAAGTTTACTTACTGAAGTACATCACTTCAGCAGGTCCACTCTGTAGTGCAGTTGAGGACCATTTTCTGAAACTCTGACTGTTTCTCAAGCAACTTAATACATATCTTTGACACTGTTTCACACAGAATTCTCCTGGAAAACCTGGCTGCGTGTGGCTTGGATGGCCGTAGTCTTTGCTGGGTAAAAAAATGGCTGGATGGCCAGGCCCTAAGAGTTGTGGTAAATGGAATTACATCCAGTTGATGGCTGGTCACAAGTGGTGTTCCCCAGGACTCAGTATCGGGTCCAGTTCTGTTTAATATCTTTATCAATGATCTGAACAAGGGGATCGAGTGCCCCCTCAGTAACTTTGCAGATGACACCAACTGATCTACTTGCAGGTAGGAAGGCTCTACAGAGGGATCTGGACAGGCTGAATCAAAGGGCCAAGGACAATTGTATGAGTTTCAACAAGGCCAAGTCCTGCACTTGGGTCAGAACAACCCCATGCAACGCTACAGGCTTGAGGAAGAGTAGTTGGCAAGCTGCCCAGCAGAAAAGGACCTGGGAATTTTGGCCAACAGCCAGCTGATTATGAGCCAGCAGCGTGCACAGGTGGCCAAGAAGGCCAATAGCATCCTGGCTTGTTTCAGAAATAGTGTGGCCAACAGGATAAGGGAAGTGATCATCTCCCTGTACTTGGCACTGGTGAGGCTGCACTTCAAGTACAATGTCCAGTTTTGGGCCCCTCACTACAAGACAGACATTGAGGTGCTGTAGTGTGTCCAAAGAAAGGCAATAAAGCTGGTGAAGGGGCTGGAGAACAAGCCTTATGAGGAGCAGCTGAGGGAATTAGGGTTGTTTAGTCTAGAAAAGACGAGGCTGAGGGGAGACCTTATCACTGTCTACAACTACCTGAAAGGAGGTTGTAGCGAGGTGGGTGTTGGTCTCTTGTCCCAAGTTACAAGTGATAGGACAAGAGGAAACGGCCTCAGGTTGCACCAGGGGAGGTTTAGACTGGATATTAGGAAACATTTCTTCACTGAAAGGGTAGTCAAGCATTGGAACAGGCTGCCCAGGGGAGGGGGGGGGTCACCATTCCTGGAGGTATTTAAAAGACCAGTAGATGTGGTGCTTAGGGACACGGTTTAGTGGTGGACTTGGCAGTGTTAGGTTAATGGTTGGACTGGATGATCTTAAAGATCTTTTCCAACCTAAACAATTCTATACAGGGATATCACTTAAAAAGAACTTAATTTTTCATTAAATGTGACCTCATCTTCTGCTTACCAAATGTGGTTCCCACTAATCTCGGTCATTTATTCAAAGCTCTCTGGAAATATATTGATAAATTTTTCCCTCCATATTTTATCCTTTGAATTCACACCAGGAGGTCAAGGTTTACATGAGTCAGGTGATACAAGTTTCTGGTCTTGAACGGATATCTACATAACTAACACAACACAGTGGAAACTTCAAATATAATACTCACACAATTTTAAACTTACTTTGGTTAAAGGAAAGAACCCAAATTCTGATCTCAGTATAAATATATCTATGTATACACACATGAAAGAGCAAAAACTCAGTTTCACAAACACTTCTGGAAGGCAGGTATAACAGGACAGTGAAATATTTTGGTAGCACTTCATTATCTGTAACATTTCCTTCTTCATGGTCTTTAGTCAGCTCAAAAAAGTCTTTGTACAGGTTACACCAAACATGCACAAGCATATTCAGCCCTTCTTAATGAGAAAACACTCTGCTCCCTGGATCTGCCTCCAGTCTCTCTCAACCTCACCTACATAGTTAAAAAACCCAAACTTCACATCAGAGAGTTAATAAGGATCTGTAGAGACATGTAACGAATTCTAGCTATTGTCACAAGCTGCCACAATAGCTCCCTCACAGAACTAACTTAAGCAGGCAGTGACAATTCCCAAATCAAAAGCTCAGCATCAGTTAAAGACAGAAGTTTCGGGGATAAAGCTCAATTACCTGCAATGTCTGCCTTAGGATCTACTGTGAACACAGGGTAGCACACAGGACTTGTGCTGAACCACTTGAGAGAAGTGAATTTCATAGACTATGAAAGCTGGTTGAACAACTCCTCCCCAGATTAACAGTTGCCATCCAGTCAGGAAGACAGTGCTAAGAATTTCATGTAGTCCACTTTTAAGTCTTGCATAAAAATTAACTTATGGAGAAAAGCCACTTCTCAGCACTTTGTGAAGATGGCTGTTTCTAAGATGAAAACCAATTTTGTCCATCCTTTTGCTTAGTTATAGCAGGCTTACTTACAGAGTTTTATCTACATAAATGAGTCCATTCACCCTTAAATACTGCAGCTATTAGGAATCTCTGAAAACCTTGCCAATTTCTCCTAATAATAAATTTACATTTACTTCTCAGAAGGTCATTTAGGAGTTTCTTGCATATGATTTAATCAACTGATTCACCTGACTGTACTTTGTACTTTGTAAGTGAACGCAGATGCGATCAGTGTTTGCCTGGATCATCTGAACATCAAAAGCCCCAAGTGAGGACCCAAATCATTCTGTAGGATGGTGTATGGTGTGACTCTAAAGATTCTACAGCAAAGTTTAGATTGCAACGTTCTCTCTCACAACTGAGTGAATACCTACCAAAGTGTGAAGCTGCAAACCCCTTATTATAAACAGGTCTCAGTTTCCTGACTTGACATACAATCTTTTAAAAAGAACCACAAACAGCCAATATTAAATTGTTGAATATATCATAACTGGGGAAAGGAGTGAGACCACATTCCTTTATCTTTAGGAACTGACCTGAAGCAAAAGGCATCGAGCAAGCAACATTACTCACAAAAGAACATAAACTTTATTCTTTTGTTTGTAAAAAGTAAGATTTTTTTTAATGGGGAAAAAAAGAGAAAGAGAACTGCTACAGACTCTTTAAGCATACAATCTGTCACAAGCTAAAACCACACTGTCAAATGAAGGAACTCCACATTACAAAATATGTGACAGAGGAGATAGCAATGACAACAGGATTAAAGAAGTCTTCTCGTATTTCCTGCAGATAGTATTATTTCACCTAATTAATTGGTACCAGGGTCACATGAGCTTTCATTTTCCTCTCAGTTCAAAACATTTGTGAAGAAGCTTTTAGAAGATCTCATCTCTAGACAGGAAGAAGCTTGTCTCTTCATAAATCTAGTTCCCTGTCTGCTGGGAATGGGGCTTTTAGAGGCCCACAAAACAGTGTGGAACATTAGAGAAAATAAAAACCCCTTAAGATCTTTAGGGAAAACAAACAAGTACTATTTCAGAATTTTTAAAGCACAGTTAGGTGACTTGTCATGATAGGAAAAGTCTAAGCTCTATCCAAAGTTCACACAAGGACTTTCTAACTTTTTACTTTCGGTTAGCATGCACTTATTCTTCAGCTCCAGCAGATTTATGTATTTCAACTGCAGCAAGTAAAAAAACTAAGTAAATTTAAAAATACTAATAATTTTTAAAAGTCAAGCTCATAATACACACAGTCCTGCAAAGAAAACAAGAGTAGCCAATCTCCCCACTTTCAAAACATATCAAGATACTAGGAATAGCTACTATCTGCAGAGGCTATAAATGCTTTGCATCTAATTCACATTTATTTCTGGACAGTTTTTCAGAGCATCTCATTATCTGGGATCACAGCTTATATTCAAAACAGAACTCAGTGATACTAAGAACCCTGCACTCACTATGGGCCACCTAGGATTTCCTTTTCTTCAGCTGTTAACTGAAGCAGATCCAGCAGCTTCAGCCCTTGAGACAGAGAAGAATGAGCAGAGCGAGCCTTTTCCTCCTCAATACTAGCTCAGGGAATAAGTGGATGTATAGGTCACACACCATTAAGGAAAACCCTTCTCTCAGGCATTTCATGTACTCAAAATCTGGGCCACACGAGATTTTCCTACCCAAGCACTTCTGCAGCTTCATTAGAAGTGACAACGTTTCCAGACTAAAAATGAATCTGAAACTGCTGTTTAAAAAAAAAAATAAATAAAAACCCTGACTATTTCAGAATTATCAAGGAAGTGAAATAAAAACTAGCTGTGTGAATAGACGAAAAACTGTTCACACCAGCAGAAAGCCCAAGAAAAAGTTGAGTTTTGTACAGTCCTGTGGAAGCCCTGTTGTTGTGCCATAGCTCCTCAAACAGTTATTTCAGAATCATTATCAGAAAATAACATATAATTTTTAAGTCCTGTAATAGCACAATCCTTGGTCAAGTGAATGGAGAACATTATTCTGTTCCTTTAAGGCCAATCAAAAATGCGGTAAAGAGAAATTTTTGTAGCCACAAGTAGTCCTGACATATTGGCATAGGTTCACCTGAAAGCAAGAACCAAGGAAAAATCGTTCTGAAATTGCTGAGGGTCATCCCTTAATTGTAACTTGATTTCGCATCCTTTTTTTTTTTTTTTAAATCATCATACAGGAGGTTAAAAATGCTGCCTTGATTTCACAAAAGAACGCATGCATGAATATGCACTTTAAATGCTGAGATGATAGTTTCACAGAGGTTTTCATTCCAATTAGAAGTTTATTCTAACATCACCCAAAATACAAGTATTGGTATCCACCATTAGTAAATAGCCAATTAATACACTTGCATTTAATTCATCATCACTTATAAACCATACAACAGACATTCACTTGAAAGTAACTGTAGTTAGGTGCAATGAAAATCTGACTCATGTATTCAATGATTGCCCTTTTTAAAATGGGGAAAAAAAAAAAAAGGCAAACAGGGGAAAAAAAGCAAACAATCCCATAAACCAAAAGCACTTGCAATTAAAGTTTTTCCACCCAAATGGAAATGAACACAGATAAGATTGCATCACCTAGATGTGCTGAGCCAAGACAATCCTCTTCCAAAAAGCACTGATTTGCATGTTGAGATTTGCATTTTCAGTAAGTGCACTACGTAATGCAGTTGGGTGGGAGCCAGACTACCAGTTATTAAGCTTAAAAGGATGAAAATCACTTCTGAGACTCCAAGAAAGAAAACTCTAATAGCTAGATGCTTCAGACTCATTTCTGATGAGTCGAAGTAATACAATACCCAAATAGCTCTTGTCCCTATTCCCACAAATATTATTACTTGCTCTGAGTCCCTGCCTCAGGTTTCAAGTAATCGCTGCTACCTAATAAGAGTTCTTCTGGTGTCAGACGGGAAAGCTAATAAACACCAGCTAGAATTTCCCCAAAATAATCTGATAACAAAACATCATGAGAGGATTGTGGCAGCTGACTTCATCTCTGTTTTGTACCAGACTACAGTGCCATGTGCTCCTCCCCAAATAAATCGCTTCCTATTTCACACTGGTTACCAGCCAAGAGAAAGCAACCACCGTTACACCATGATAAATTGTGAGCATGTTTCCTCCCCTCTTACTCAACCCCAAAATGGTTAAAATATCCCTTGACTGACTCACACAAAACAAAAATCAAGGAAGGGAGAGCTTACCTGAAAAATTCCGAGACACAAGCATCGTAGTGAGGATTGCACCCTGTGGGAAGAGAAAAGCAGGAATAACAGACAGCGTCACTCACTTCAGAAAGGGGCTGGGCTGACCCGTAGAAAACACAGTACATCAGGTGCCCTAGCTACAGGCAACTGACACACTATTGATGGGAGGCAGAGAGTGATCAGAACTAAAAGCCCCAGAATTTAAGAACTAGCTGCTCTATTTGAACTCTACTGCAAGATGTAAAAGGGGTGATTAAGTAGCAAAAGAGGCACAGGAAACTTACAGCTTTGGAGAAAGAAACTACCCAGCTCCCCAATACACTTCTTAAGTACCCTGCACTGGAGGATCACATAAGGTACTTCACTAATGTTAGTAAGCTAATCATAAAAAAAAAATATATGTATATTGTTGCTAGGAAGGCATTAACCTCAAATTCAGAGGATTAAAAACAAACTTAAGACAAACTAACATGTACTTACCTTCAGCTTCCTTCTAGCATTGAACTTCCTCAAGCATTCCACAGTCTCCTGCCTGTGCATCATTGAAGCGACAGTGGACCGTTGCTGAAAAACAGGAACAGGAAAAGATCAAGAACATACCCTAACCAAATTAGCCAGGGACATTCTCCCCACCTGCACACAACCATGACATGCAAGCTGACATTGCCAAGCCTCTCAGCCTCACACTACGGCACGGCTGCAAAACACCGTAACTGGTTCATAACTTAAGAACTTCCCAATACAGTAAGAAATGTTAAGTCAAGGTTGGCTATTACAGGACTGTGCCCAAGAACAGCTGAGAATCAACGCTTCCTGTCTCTCAGGCACACAAATGGGTAAGACAGTACAAAAGACAAAGTCAAATGAACAAGCATACCCACAGGGGACTGAGTTAGAGGCACTACAGAAAAGATCTGCGTTGCATTAGTTACAGCTCTAAAGGAAAATTTCAAGCATTAAGTGAATACTAGTGAGCAGTACCCTTCCTGGACGTGGTGACTCTCTGAATCTAAGTGCTTGACTAGCAGAGGCGTCAGCATCTTTGCATCAGTTTTGCAGAAATAGATTTTCAGTGTGTAAGAGGAAAGATCATATAGCTCTGTTGTACCAATGCAAAAACCTGAGCATAACCTCTAGCCAGTGATGTACACCTGTCACCCACAGTAGACTGGGATCCCATCAGCTGCAAAAAGAGAAATTCCCAGAAATCTTCCCAGTCATTAAGAGCACATGAAGAAATCAGAGACTGATGCTGCCAGGCATTCAGAGCACGTGAGGAAACCAGAGACTAATGCCAAAGTAGCTGTTGCTCTTGCATAGAGCCACAAGTCTGAATTCTCTTTACAAGGACAGTGGGTGAATTATTACCTTGGCAGACCAGCATGTACAAACCCTCCATCACCTTCCTCCTGCTTGGAAAAAATTCTGCAATATGCAGAAGAACTGTAAACCATGGTCACTTTCAGCTAGTTTCTTGGAAAGTCTCTGCTTTGATCTGTCAGCAAAGCTAGTCACCTGCTGACTAGCCATTGTCGCATGGCAATGTAGAGGTAGAATGCAGCTAAACTGTCATCTTTAACAACTTTGTCACTGTTCATTCAGTCTCCTTGGGAGTGACAGTGATATCCAGTTGTTCAGTGTGGGATTAAAAGAGTCAGGACATGTACTTCAGAAGTTCAGTGATGCTGAGAAACTCAGTGTCTCAGATAAACTGTGAAGATTTCCTACCACATTTACTTCAAAGGAGCAATACATCTCCAGAAAGAAAACTTGCATTGCACACACAGAGACTGCAGATCAAATGGAAACAACAGACTCAAAAGGACACAGTTTCAGTGAGAAGCTGAAACGGCTGTGAAATGAAATGGAACTCCCCAAACCCACTTGAACCGTTCTATATTATGTTGCCACAGAGAGTGATCACATCGTAAGACTACAGCTATCATAATACGTACATCTTTGGTTACAGGCATTGGAACAAAAGTTAAACATACAGGAACTGCTATTGATTACAAGCATGCAAGCAGAAAAAAACAGAGATGCAAAATCTCAGCCAGTGTGAAGTTTTGACTTCCAAGGAACTCGCATCACTTTACAGTGGATGCTATGCTCCTGTTCACATAAGTAAGTTTAAATTTCTAATTTGATGTTTTGTGGCAGAACGAAAAACCATCACAGTTTCTCAAGAAAAAAAAAATGAGGGAAGGAACACACTAGACATCCTAGAAAGCAAAAGTATGCTATGGTTTTACAAGAACATCTGGTTAGACTTAGGTGGAACTATTTAATCCTACAGAGATAAAAGTGCACTATTGCTGTCCTCCCCTACACCCACTGCCAGCTGCATTCTGGGATTTCCTTGCCAACTTTGCAAAAGATGAAAAATACTCCTGCATGGGATCTGGCAAGGCAGAAACTACATACACAGAACAGCAAAAGATTTTTTGCTGATTTCAGGTTTACAGGCAGTTAAGCTGCAGCAGAGCAGAAATGTTCCAACACTGCAAAGATGCAACACAATAAACTGAAGTAGAGATGAAGAACAAAATAATCCTAAAATATTTTGTCTGATGCCAAACTCCATTTGACATTTTAGGATTATGTGGATTGCAAGAGATGTAGGGAAAACCAGAAACTACAGACATCCACAAAACTTCTAAAAGAATAAGGCATTTTTTTCTCTACAGTGGCAATAAAAGGACAACAGCATGACAAGGTTGACTTGTTGAAGATCAGACTCAAAAAAAAAACCCCCAAAACCCACCACTACATTTTGAAATATTTAAAATATTCTGGGCTCCTCTGTAGCTAAGTCTTCTTGACACATCAGTTCAGGGTAAATTACAAATCAATCCGTAATAAAGGAAAACACTTACGCAGACCCATGGATGTTTGAGAGCCTGGTCAGCGGTGATGCGCTTTGCTGGGTTTATCGTCAGCATCTGGTTGATCAAATTCTTTGCTTCGGGAGTCACAGTGTCCCACTCAGGTGATGGGAACTGAAAGAAGAAGAAGGAATAGATGATGAACTGAAAATACCTTCTCCTAGCATAAGAGATTCTCCCTCCTACACAGCTGAATTCCAGCTTTTGCCCTTTTAATACCAGGGCTAATATATTTGCAAAACATAAATTTTTGTTGAAACCCATGCTGAATGAAAATCATACAGAATCCAGCAAATTAATGGTACCAGACAGCAGGACACTCCAGTACCATTCACCAGACACAGGCAGGAAGATTAGCGGTTTAAAAGCCTTTTAAGAATGACTCAGACTTTTAAATTTTCTTTCATACTCAACAGTCAAAAAAGTAAAGTCACAGATCTTTTTAACTGAGTTTTGACAGGAAAAACACAAGCACTATCTTTTTTATCCCACTTTGCTCTTTCTCCAGCATGCTAAAAAGCTGTAACAGCATATGCAAAAATCACAAACACTTAACTACAGCAAAACCTCATAAAAGCAAAAACCACTAACAGGGAACATCCCATCAGGTATACTTTCCCCACCATAAAGCACAATATCCTGGAACAATACCAGTCTGTCAGGTGTAGCAACCCACCAGCAAGTTGTTAGCAAGCATCCACCATAGCAGAAATCATTACTTGGGGAGCAAGAGAGATGTAACAGTGGATGGGAATACAGAAGCATGGAAACAAAGAAAAGAATCTCAAGTATTCCAGTTGCTGATCATCCATAAGGGGTAACTGCTCTCTCCTATAATTGCAGTAACGATAAAGATGAGATTTACACCATCCTCTAGATGCTTCCATGTGGTATAGATGACAGTACACTGAGATTAAATGCAGTACATGTCAGTCCTATGAATCAACTGTACAAATACACATGAAGTTGAGAACACAAAGGTAAAAGTGCTGTTGGGATAAAAGTCCCCTGTCTTTAAGTGGTGGAAGATTGATCTATCCTGAGAACACTTCCTTACAGTACTACAACATTTAGAAACAGTTTAGCCCATATCTTTTCTCCTGCATTTTGTGCTTTGCTCAGTTGGGTCATAAAAATACACCTACTGTATTTGATTTGCATATAATATTATGTCTGCATTCTCAGTCATCAGCAAGGCATTATACAATTAGTTCTGCAAACACTGCAAGAGACTGTGCAAAAAATATGATACTGAGCTTTCAGCCAGGACACCTCCCCCGCACTCAAACTCTGAAGTATTCATGGTAATGAATGTAGGGATAGAGTCCACCCTCAGCAAGTT